TCACGGTACCAGCAGCGTACATCATCTCCTTCTCACTGTTGTCGTGCGTGTTAGCTTTCATCAGCAGCATCGATCCCTCAGTGAGACTCACCGTTGAATTAAACGCAACGGCGTAGTCCTGCGTCGACGCAAAGTCGCTCCGCACAAACGCCACAACAGAGCCGGCCACATCAAAGGTCCCACGCACAGACACCGCGTACTTGCATAGCAAGAAGTCACTGTCGACAAACGCGAGCACCGAGCCACCGCCTGCCGTCACGTCGCCCTCCATCGACACGCACATCCCCAGTGCCGTCTGCACAAACAGCTGCTCCATGTACAGCGCACCACCGGACGACAGCGCCAGGCCACCGGCCACAAGCACACCGCGCGCGTCACCGAATACTGCAACCACCTGCGTGCGCGCAACTGTCAGCACAGTACCAGCCAGACTCACATTGTACAACACAAGGCACGCCGACGCGCCCCCAAGGTCGTAGCCGCTGCGGTACGTAACAGCCGTCTCAGCGACCAGCACCGAGTCCACCACGGTGACACGCGAACCTTGCGGGAACCTGTTCGCCAGCAGCACCCCGCCGCCAGAGCGCGAAACAAGCCCACTGATCCACACCTCCACACGCTGACCAGCAGGCGGGTTGGACACCCACCCCACAACGTACAGGCTTGCGCTGCCAACCATCGTGCAGTTCATGAACGTCACGTTGCGCACGTTACCCGACATTGCACTCACGTCTACAACGACGTCCGTGGTGAAGGTCACACCCACGTAGCACACCACCGGACTCCCGAAGCCCGCGCCCGTGTCCCCTTCCACCGTCACATCACGCACGCACGGGTCCACATCGTCGCCGCCCGGCAGCTTGGGAACATCGACGGGCAGGCACAGATCGCCGTGACCGTCATCCCGACACGTGCAGGCGCAGACGTCACTCGAGACTGCTGCAGTGTAGACAGCGAAGCACGACGCCGCCGCACTACACGGGTCGCTGCAACTCAGGATCGTGGCGTTGTATGCAGGCGGAATGTTGTAGCTTGTCACCTCCTGCCCATTCAACTGGTTACAGGAAACCACCATCGTCCCGTTGTCATTCTCCTGCACTGAAGTCGACAATCTCAAAACATTGAGTGAGCTGGAGCTGGACACGAGACTGTTGCTCGACACAGCAATTGTGGAGTATCGGAGATTTATCCGGGAGGAGAAATAGGCAAATCCACCCCAGGGCTGCCCACGACAGAGGTTCCCGCGCAACAGCAGCCACGAGTCGTTGTACAGGTAGGTGACGTCATCCTGATGGAAAAAACTGGTCGAAACCTGTGCGCTGTTGCCTCGCACGGTAAATGCGGACCGGGACTCCACACGCATATTCCAGTATATCATAACGAAATCCAACACTGCTCTCGGGACAGCATTGCCTTCCAACACCACTGCAGAGTCGTTCAGCACGCGCAAAGAGGAAGCTGAGCTCGTACCCGTCAGAAACAACGGTGTACTGCTCAACCCACGCGCAACAAACGTATTGTCCAGCATCGCAAACAGAGAGTGCGACGACACCACGAGGGCATCATTAATGGAACATATTATGCGTGCGTACGAAGCAGAGTTTTCGAACGTGTTTCCCTCAATCGTAACCGCAGAGTGGTCGGTCACCGTCAGTCTGTTCATCAAGATACATGATGGGTAGTAAATATTCAAACCAGGACGTCTGACAAGTCTCGTGATGCTGAAGCGGTTTTTGCTGATGGTAAGATTTGTATGTGTGGGGAACGTGCCATCCGGGCTCAGCAACGCGTCGTCAAACGTGTTACCAGTGATGACAATGTTGAGCGAACCCACAGTGGTTCCCACGGTGCTCATCAGCAGCAGGATGGCACCGTTACTCCATGTGCATCCGTCGAACGTGATATTCACCGCATCGCCGGTCATCGCCTGGACATTCACTGTGAGTATCATTTGGGGCCCACTGAACGTCACGTTGCGGTAACACAGCCAGGACAGGCCATTGCCCACTGTCTGCGCCACCTCCGGGTAGTCTGTGTTGTTGATGCACTCACCGACCGCAGGCGGTGGTGGCGGTGAGGGCGGTGGTGGTGGTGGCGGCGGTGGTGGCGGGCCGACGGGCACAGGCGCCGGAACACACACATCGCCGTGCCCGGTGGCAGCACACTCGCACCCGCAGCCGCTGATCGCTGTCGTTAGCGGGTCAAAGCAGTCACTGTCCTTCGCGCAAACACCGCACTCCGCAATTCTCGTCATATTGGTGATGGAGTTACTCTCCAGATCTGCCTGGGACGTTACCAGCTGCCCTGCAATCGTCAAGCACCCAGCAACAAACTTGTAGCCGCTTTCAACATCGCTTAGTAGGCTACGGCTCAACCCCGTGCGAGCCATGTTCCAGCCCGTCAGCGTCACCACACTGCTGTTGTCAATATTCACTTTTGTGTAGAAGGAACTGTAATAAACAAATGCACCCTGTTGAACGTTATTGTCGCGCCAGTCCACCCAGCTTGACTGCTGAACATCCCATGAGTCGTAGACATAGATTCCATAGCTTACCGCACCACTGTTCCCCACCATACGGAGCACGCTATGGTCCAGTACCTGAATTCCCCATAAATGATACAGGAGACTGTTCCCCGTCGACATCGTGCTGTTAAGCAATGCAAACACAGAGTGGTCGCTGATGATAGTCTTATACAGGTACACTAGGTTCGTATACCCCTCAAAGCGACAGTACCGCACGTAGAACGAACTGCCACTCGACACTGTCAGTGTCCCAGATGAGTATACACCGTACCCGGTACTGGAGGTGGAAGAAACACGGGCCTTCACGTTGCTGATCAGCAAAGAAGAAGAAGTGGATAAAACAAAATTCCACATCGCCACAACGCCTAATACATTGGTACCAGACCCAGGTACAGAGACCGAAGAAGACTGTACAGCATCAACCTCTGTGATGGCAATATCAGAACCCTGCGGAAGGGTATTGGTGAATACCACAACAGACGACTCCATCACAGTGTTGTTCACACGGATCCGTACACCAGCAGATTCAATCACACCACCTCCGCCCAGAAATTGCAGTGAGGACCCTCCACGGAATGTGCATCCAGAGAAAGTGATGTTGATGGGGTACTGCAGCGGCATTCGTGTAAACTGAAATGTTGCCGTTGCTCCGGTACCACTGAACGTAACACCCACGTAGCAGTGGTGCGTCTTCCACATGTTCAGCGAGAGCGTCGTCAGCGTCTGGTACTCTACACAACTCGTGTCGTTGTCCACAGGTTTTTCCGGAACGGGCATGACAGGGATGTCCGGNCTCTCCAGATCTGCCTGGGACGTTACCAGCTGCCCTGCAATCGTCAAGCACCCAGCAACAAACTTGTAGCCGCTTTCAACATCTCTTAGTAGGCTACGGCTCAACCCCGTGCTAGCCATGTTCCAGCCCGTCAGCGTCACCACACTGCTGTTGTCAATATTCACTTTTGTGTAGAAGGAACTGTAATAAACAAATGCACCCTGTTGAACGTTATTGTCGCGCCAGTCCACCCAGCTTGACTGCTGAACATCCCATGAGTCGTAGACATAGATTCCATAGCTTACCGCACCACTGTTCCCCACCATACGGAACACGCTATGGTCCAGTACCTGAATTCCCCATAAATGATACAGGAGACTGTTCCCCGTCGACATCGTGCTGTTAAGCAATGCAAACACAGAGTGGTCGCCGAGTACCGTATTTTTCTCGAAGCCATAATTACCCCTTTTTTTTTTTGTTTCTACATTTTTTTTTCCTTTTACTGTAGAAGTGCATAATACTATGTTTCATTTTTATTCTAAGGACAAATTTTCTTTTAAGGATTGTGTTAAACTGTACTCACTATTATCTGTGAGTGCTAAACATTTGAAGAAATGAACTGAGAAAATATTTTAAAAAAGAAACATTTTATATGAAGAATTTCAAAAATCCTTAAATGTATATGTACTCAGAAACAACGAAACGTGTTCCTCATGTGTGTCTTGTTGGAAAATACTAAAAGTAGAGGAAAACAGGTGAAAACAAAGCAGAGTGACGCGTGCAATAGCGGATTCTCTATATGCGATGTTTCAAGAATGATTAATAAGGAAACTTCTTGCTACCAACGATCGCAATTTTCCCCTTTTTCACTCTGCATAGTCCTATTTTTTTTTTCACTTTGAAGTTCCCAAATGACATTCAACTCGTCCTATCACAGATGACCTGGAGAAATAATACGTGTCTACCCAGAACACAAACCCTACCCGAGTTTACTTACTACTAATACTAGCCCAAATTTTCCCTATGAACCTCCATATTGAGAGACGGAAAGAGAGTGAGTGGACCACAAACACCATCTCATCAGTACTCTAGAGTCCTACCAACCACGATGGTAGAGGTGTTCTGGAGTTCCAGTTAATGTAAATGTGAGATGACGGAAAAAGTCCTGTCTGTCACTACCCCAAAAGAGGTTGCGACGTTCTTCCGCTGTCATTGTGCGAAACTGACCAACAGTCGGATTGTTGTTGATGCGTACGAAAGCAAGTTCGCGCATGTACCCCATGTCATCAAAACCCCACTTACGAGCTTCAGTACGGACCGCAAACTCAAGCGGATCCTCATCCAAATATTCAATTTCAATTGGGGGAGGTGTGATTGGAAAATGAACATTGCGGCTATAGGGCACAGCACATAAACCCGCTACACGAGAGTAGACTCGACGCATCATCTTATTATCACTTAATACGTTCAAAGAAATAACTTCTCACTAATATCAAAAAACATAGAAAAAAAAGATTTGGTCTCACTCAAAAGAAACAGGTATCAATAGCAGTACTCATGTAATAAATTCATTAAACAAAAAAATATTATTTAGCTCACCTTCTCCTTTTCCCAATGATCATAATATAAAAACAAAAAACAAATAAACATTTTCTTTTTGTTATAACAATTAAACAAAAAATATTGAACCCGTCCCTGTGATTCAATCAAAGTCGACTATTTATCTTCATAGATTATTAAGCACTACGAATAAAAGGCGTTCAAGCACATTTAACAAAAATCCTTTGGAAAAAAAAAGAATGGGATGCGAAAAAAATAGAATTTCCAACCTCACAAATTACGACCATCCATACATAATTGCAAAAATGAGAAAAAAAAAATTACTTTCCACATAAAAGACCTTCGACCGTACAATTTCTTTAGTATCTCCACCAAAGAAACAGCAAAGCAAATAAATTCAACTATTGCACATGCCGTACACAGTCGAATTGGAGACCACAGGTAAGTACCAATAATTGGATAGGTAAGAGGAAGGAGAGAATGTTCCAGGAAGCAATCGGTTGCGCAGTACTGACCAAACACTCTGATTCACAAACTGCACACCAGACCAGCCCGACACATACAGAACGTAGTAGCTGCGAAACTGACAGTCCCTGTGAACCAACCAGCTCCTATCAGACAATTCTAGCGTAAGAAAGGAGAGCACCTTGAGCCCAGCGCGAAACTCACTCGAGACAAACTGCATCACACTCCCACCATTCACCACAACACCGTCAGACTGAATTGCGCCGGCGGTAATGCTATCCGTCGCAACCTTCCATGAGCTGTTCTGTACCGAGAACACTGAGCCACCGAGAACCCCCAAATCGGAAGAAACGAAGTTGATCCCATAGGCCGGCGAGCTCACCGCGCAGTTGTCCATGTAGAAGGCGCTCGACTGCTTCACGTAGAGGCCGTGTTCCACGAGGATAGGAGCGCATGTGGTCTCTCCCGAACACGTCATTTTCGTACGCGTCACAACAAACTGCGTTGACAGAAGCTGCACGCCGTCGAGCACGAGCACGGGACCATACTTGGCACTCCCCTCACCCACACTTGTCAGTACATACTGCGATCCATCGGTTGTTGCACGCAGCGTCGAGTTCGCCAGCAGCACAATCGAGTTCGCGGGCACTGTGCCTTGCAGCACGATCGTGCCCTCCACCGACGTTACATTCGTCATGTTCACAAGCAGACGAGGCATCAGCGCTGCCATACCAGCGTCATCAACGCCTTTGATCCGCAGCAGTGCACCGCCCACAAGCACGCAGTTCCGCAGCGTCACATTCAGCGCGTCTGAAAACGTGTCCATCGCCTGCAGGTTCACCGTCACGGTGATTGGCCCGCTGAACACCACTGCATCGAAGCACACCGTCGTCCCGCCGCCCGCGCTCACGGACTCCGTCAGCGTCACGCCAGTCACGCAGCCCTGTGAACCGCCGCTGCTACCACTGGTATTCGCAATCGGTACGTCAAACGGAAAGCATGCATCGCCCGTCCCGCCGGGAGTGCAGTTGCACGCACAGTCGGAGAACGACGCCGTCAGCGCAGGGAAACAACTCTGCTCTTCCACACAGCTGTCACACGGCGCAACACTCACGGAGGGCAACCCGGCCTCGCGGTATTCGCCACTGCTCTGCAATACTTTGCCCCCGGCGCGGTTGCACTGCACCGACACCACACCACTTGCGATTGACGGCCCGTTTGCGAGCGTTGTGCCGACAACAGCGCAGCGTGCAATTGAGACAACACCGCCATCAAGCGTCAGCGACGAAAGCGACGCGAGCAATGACCCGTTGCCCGCCACCCACACGCGGTGCAGGTCCAGCCAGCCGTCAGCAGCAACAGTCCCACCCCCACTGCTCAACAGCGCGGATCCGGCGTTCCCTTTGATGCTCACAAGGCGCAACACAGANGAACGAATCCAGAATTGTTGACTGTGGTGACAACCCATAAAAAAACGATCTCCCTCCCTCCTGAGTGTTGTTGGAAAAAACCATGACAGTACTGTTGTCTGCCAAAGTAATTTCGTATGAAGAAGAGAGAAGGCCAAAAAGTGACGCTGAACTCACATTGTTCCCCACCACGCGTACCTGCGCACCGCTGCTGAGGTCAAGCGAGTCAGCCATAAAAAACAAGGCGGTAGCCCAAGCTTGTGCCCCGCCAAGGAAACTGCACCCCACCACAGACACCAGTCCCATAGAAGCTACACTGCTTCCCCAATAAAGCAGAAGACCGCTACCGGCAGCCATCGTGGTGTTCTCCATGCTTAGGTAGCCACCATTCATAACGTCAAGACTGTAAATCCGCAACGCAGAGTACGTATACGAAGACTGCGAACTCACCTTAAGCGTTCCACCCTGCACCATGATACCGGTTCCGTCCAGTGTGAGTTCGCTCATGAAATACACGGCGCACACACTCGCCTCAATTCGGTTGCGCAGAAGCAGCACTGTGGAGTTCACACCAATGGTAAAGGAAGTGAAGTAGAGCCCATAGTCACCTACTGATGCGATGGTATTGTCCACAAACAGGAGCTGAGAGTTCGCAGCGTAATCACCACTCACCTTCACGGAACCACTCTCCAGCACAGATGAGGTAATATTCACGTAAACTTTTTCACCTCCTGCACTGATCGTCAGCTCCGTGAAAAAGCAGCGCAGCAATGTGATGTTGAGTGTCTTCCCCGGAGCATCAAAGGTGCTCATGTCCACTAAAATTGGGGCGGTGAATGTCACGTCGACGAAGCACAGTCCAGGAACACCGGGATCGGGATCGCCAAGAGAGGCCATGTTGCCACCGTACACACACGTGATATCTGTGCCATTTGTTTCAGGCACCGGCATTGGCCCAAGACCCTCCGGCACCTCCGCCGGCAGACACGCACCTCCGTAGCCCCCACTCGCACACACACAGCCGCAGCCACTCATGCTGCTCGTCTTCGCGGCGAAACACTCAGCGTCCTGGCTGCAAACACCACAGTCCAGAACCGTCACATCCACATACACACTGAGGTCCCACCTGTA